TCTATTAAGTTAGCTCTTCTTCGGGGATAGAGTCAGTCTCAAGATCAACTAAAATAAATATTGAAATTTTCAGTTTTGTTTGGAAATTAAAGACAAAATAATGATGTGCTAAGGAAAGGATTGCATTCCGATCGTGGCATTTCAGACCACCCACCTGATAGATTTTCTTTATCTGACTCTCGTATCCTTTCGTGGTCTTTGTGAGTATTTTCCAATTTTCTAATTATTCAAACTTGAAAACGGTTTCAAATTGGTGGTGGATCGTAAATGGCGCTCAAGAACTTGCAGTTAGGTATGCACTTTTGTTTGAGTTGTCTCAAAATAAAATTGTATACCTTCAATTGTTTCAAATATTTTTTCAGCCAACTCAAACAAATAACAAATTCCACCGCTGAGTGAGTGGGCAATCAAGTTTTTAATCAAGTGTTGCTTATTTATTGACGTTAAGTTTCGGATATTTATTATTCAGTCTGCTAACCGTCTAGTCCAGTGGTTCTTAACTTTAAAGCAATGATAGTGTCCCACTCCTCTGCTTAATTCAGTCTCTGCCAAATTCTATTAGCCAAGACTATTGAGAATTACGTACTGCACGACAGACCTACTGCCTTAGGAAGCTACTGCTTAATTTTGGAATTATGCTTTGTATAGCCTGACCAGGAACATAAAAACCCTCGCCATGTTGCGGAAAACTAATGGTACTAATTTCTTTTAATGGCAACAGTAACTGAAAACTTCATTGACATGTCACCTTGCATGTCAGTCTATTGCTGTCAAAGTGTAAACAAACTTTATTTTAAATGTGCGCAATTGGTTTTATGAATTAAATTGCTAAAATATTTTTATAGTAGTGAAAGAATAGTGGTTCACAATGTGTTAAAGTATTTGTCGAAGAGAAATACTAAGGGTTCGGACAATATTTTCATTGAATAATGTTTCCGACAAAGGTTGTCAAATTGACTGTCATGTTTATCGTATAGTACAGTCCACTATGAAAATTAGCTGTGGTTTGTTTCAACTACCTATTTTAAAAATTTTGTCACTTTCTAAGTGTTGAATTTTATGGGAAAGAAGTACCGAGTTTGAAGCGTTCATGAGCAGACATTGCAGTTGAATATTCAAGTTCTGAATTTGATTATTGATGAATAATAAAATAAATCTACTAGCTCGATTGATGGTTTCATTTAATTTATTTAAATCAGGTTACCTATAATAATATTTTTACGTTAATTTATGAAAATATCAAATTAGCCCGTAATCCTGAATCCTGATACATAAAGTTAGCCTATTAATTTAACACAGGTACGACTGTACTCAGTGTTGCACTATCAAATGCAATTGAGGCGCCTCTATGCCAGGGTTTTTATGTTCCTGGTCAGGCTATAGTAATAATATCTGACTTCAGAAAAGTTGAATATCGAATCGTTTCAAAGAATTACGAAATAAGCATCTATGATAATGGTAATTGATGGATATTACGTTAGACTGAAAAAGAGTGCTTCAATTGAAATAAATTAATATGTAATACAGGATGTCAAAAAAATCTTGTAACTGTGCAGTGCAGTACCTCTAGTAGGAAAAACTTTCGAGTTCGTTTCGTTGCGTATTCAAAGTGTCATCGAAAAATTTTGTATGAAAAATTAAACAGCGCCCCCTAGGGCGGCTATAATATAGGGGGCGCTGTTTAATTTTTCATACAAAATTTTTCGATGACATTTTGAATACGCAACGAAACGAACTCGAAAGTTTTTCCTACTAGAGGTACAGTGCAGTGCTGCAATGCTCAAAGTTTAGAGATGTAAATCCCGGCGGAGTGGACTCGTGGACAGTTTATGATATTGATCGAAGCTGGGGCCTGCTTTAATAAATGTTGAGAAGCGCTGCCTTAGTACGTATTGTTTCAGAACATTTTGCATGCAAATGCAATGCAAGAAACGATATCCGACATTTTACATTGGTACCCAACGTTATTAGTTTTCGTTTATATTTTGACGCGCATACAATTTGCTGAGTTCCAGCTGAACTTATTGCAGTCTGATTCTAAACGGTTTTGTCTGATGGAGAGATGGCGGCTAAGTATTAAATTACTTTTTTATGTAAACTGTTTGTGAAATTGTACGTGATACTTATAGCTGCTGTACGGTGCAAAGAACTTGTGGGATTCATCAAATCCACAATTTTATTTATAGAATTTATTTTTGCACACGGACAAGATGCTATTAAACTATACTAGTATATTTTGGTAACCTAAGATATTATAATTTAATTTAACTATGAGCATGAGTTGTCGATATCACCACAGAATAAATAAATAATAATAAATAAATAAATAACTTTATTCTCACCATAGTCAATGACAGTGCAATAGGTAAACTTAAAAAACTAGGTACAATGAAGGTAGGACAAAAAAATAATAATCTCGCAGTATTACAAGTATACAAGAATAATAATAAGAACTATTCACTATCGGTTTGTTGCAAAATAATTCGAAACAGATGGCACAGATCTGGGTACACAGGGCTTAATGTAGAGGGGGATCAAACCGACATTGAAAACTTAGTAATTAATGCCCGCCTGGGCTGGCAGGAAACGCTAGTCGTGGTTGTGGGTTCGAATTCCGTTGGGAGCAAATTCAAGTTCTTTGCCCTCAAGTCATTAATGCTTGTAATATGTAATGCACCTATGTTTTATCGGTTATCTAATGAGCATAGTACTCCACAATATGGAGCAAGGTCATTTGACTTAATGTTTGAAATAATATATCCAACAAAACCCAAACCTACAGATTTCTACCGGAAAATTGGATTAAGCCTCTCCTCTCTGTGTTCAATCTCAAAACTGCATCGCCTAGTATAGTTATAAATACACTCGATAACAAAAGAACTATCGAACCGTGTATAGACAGTGCAGCTTTGTTTGTTTTTAATTTCACGTACGGGTGCAGGGCGCCTCGTCGGGCGAGATAAAAAATTAACGACACGAGGCGTGCTTCAGAATACAGGTAACCACTGGATACACGTGAAGTTTGACTAACGTGTCTGCATAGTGCTTTATGGTTCATAACGGTGTGTATAATAATTATAATGAAAACAGATTTATTACCGACGAATACGATATAAAGTGACTTACTGATCGTCGGAGAGCTTCTCAAATTTTTCAGTGTGTAGGTACCTAAGCCTCTAAAAAATTACTTACTATAGGCAAAGGAATAGCAATTTAACAGAATTCGTGCTTCTAAGTTACGTCAAAACGTTTAAAATGCCTAAAGCGGCTCTAATAATTCGTAAATGCAAAAATAAAATGAAAATATTTACTTCAAATAATGTTTATTTATCAAATTAAGGACGTTCATTACAAAAGAGACCAAAGAAAATGCTACAAAAGATAAATTACACAAAAATACGTCACGCAGTTTATTAACGTCAAATAACATGGTAAAAAAGTTAACGCCATTTTTCTCAAATATTCATATACAATTGAGAATGTTACTAGGTATGCAAAATCACTTGAAACCTATGTTACAGTTAAGCTTTTACATTTACAAATACATTAGTTTTTATTTCATTCAAAAATACCCAGTAGTTATGATTTTATAGGCATTCAAAGTTCGCTTAAATATTGAGTCCCGCCGACGGTCACGTGACCCCGTGTGACGTACATTCACAGCGTCCGCTCACTAGAAAACGGATATAAACATACTTAAATATTTTTTTTTTGTAAATACAAACTTATTATACATATTAACACCCAGACCCATCACAGAAATTAAAATTGAACCAAACCCAAACTTGATGCGATTGTGTCGTTTTATTGCGAATTACCTTCCAGCTCCATCATTAGACCCCGATTACTATATATAATTAAAATACTCATCAATACAAAACGAACGAGCCCAAACTCGATGCATTTAAGTCGTTTTATTATAGAGTTCCTATGGCCACCTTCCAGCTCCATCATCAGATCAGCTCCATGTCATCACAATATTGCATGGTCATCCAAATCACATGTGTTTGCGAAATTTCAGCTTAATCGGTTGCCTGGAAGTGGGTCTTAATTCAATTTGCAAGATTCCACCCATACAAATATGAGCCAGTCGTTGTAATATGACGTCACGCGCAAAAAATGGCGGGCCGGCCGCCGCCCGCACTTTTAAAATTCAATATCTTGGAAACTAATTGACGTATCGAAATAATAGGCTAGTTGCCTAAAAAATTTTTTTTAGTCTGTAATGTTTAATATCAAAAAATATTGGACACATGTAATTTTATTTGTCAATCTAACAAATAATTACATAGTTATGGTGCGTTGAAGTTGCGCACGACGTCACAACGTGCAGCATTTTTAAGCAAGCGTTGACGTCACGGGCCTCTTCTTATGAACTTTGGGGCGCTTTATCTCTTTAAATTTTCATTAGTTTGAAAAAGTGAAAAATACGTGTAGAGTATTTTTTGATAAGTTAACTGACGGACTATTTGAAACTCTTGCTTTTTGACCCAGGCAACATCCCCATTCTTTCACGTGTATTTTTTATTTTTAACAGAGAATACAGAAAGCTAAAAAACAAAATTAGTGAACATTCTTCATTCTCGAAAGTAACTAAGGAAATTCAAAATTATAGGATTGAGTACAAACGAATCAAAGAGAATATTATGTCAGAAATAAATGCGAAATGGGAAAAACATGATTTCAAAATATACGCTTGTGATTTGTTACATCGTTTTCTCTAATATGCATTCCATTGGGGTTTATTCATTCTAAGCTTAATTTTCAAAGCAGTAACGCTATTATAACAATCAACATTTTATACATAGTAATAAACTCCAATTTTATTGCAAACAAATGCTTTGATACGTCATGCATTTTTTGATCCACGAGAAAACTAAAATCAACAAACCACTTAGAAATATCTTCAAAAATCTAATCAATAAATCTAAAAGAGCCTAAAATAAATATTCTAAAGTAAACATTACGCTCAAAAACTAAAATCATCTAAGAAAATTGTCTTAATCGAGGTAGATAGCGAACAGTGTGATCTGGATGAAGGCAGTTGCTGTTTCTCTATGGGATTCAACGTAGTTGTCTCTTTCGAAGTCCCATATGAAGGATATGGCGTTATTGAAGCTCTGGGATCGCTTTTGGCCGATGGTGACCACGGAAATGACGCGGTAGCGGTTAAAGGCCATGGCTTTGATCTTGCGCATCAGTTCCCCTGCTAGACGAAGAGCCAGAGCTGGGGATTCCTGCCAAGTAATAGTAAGATCATAGGTTTTTTTTAAGAATATGAATAATTTGTACGGCACAAATTACTGATAGTCCCGTTAACCCCTCGTGGTAGGCTAAATATGCTTTGTTACGAGTGGGTTCACCACACTACACAAGCGGCTCGGCGACTTAGTTTGAACCCGCGTTCCTGGGATATCGAGCAGTCTGACACCTTTCACCGTTCGGCTATTATCACGTCAGATTCATATTATAGTAATGTTATGTACAAGTTCTGCTTAGCTTTGGAATCCAGTTATTTGTAATACCTGAAAGAATTTTAATAAGTTTTACCTGAACATTATACTTGTGTCCGGCGAAGTTCTCGTCAATCATTTCCTCCACGATCTTTGTGACATGTTCTAGGTGGAACTTTTCGTGGGGGTCTAGTTGGAAGGTAGGGCTGTACACCAGAGGTGGTCGTTTGAATTCGAAGGCGAGCTGAAAGAAATTTTTTTAGTGAGACATTAAAAATTTTCGGCCGTAATGGTTCAGATGGTTTTCTTTTTCGGTTCCCAATAACCCGAAGCTTCTTTTTTTAACTTTGTTTCTTTCATTTCAGCAAAATATCGAGCTGAAATTTGAATTGACCAATGGAAAATATGAAACCACGAAGGAGTTAAGAAATTAGTCTACGGCATTCACCTGGGACGTTCTTTCAACGGGCTTGATTCCAGGAACTCCAGTAAATCCAAAAGATGGTCTTCTAATTTTCATCCTGCTTAGGGATTTCTGCCCCAGAGCTGCCAGGGATTTGGTAGTAGACTGGTTCACAGCCAGCATTGAAACCTTGCTCTTTTTCAATTCGGCGTCTCCCATTTTGAATTTTACTTGTCCTGCTTGATTCTGATAGGCTTTAACGAGATATTAGAATATTGTTTCTTGCTATGGTTGTTTGGTGAAAAATGCTGTTTTGATTCCTCGCTAGCTGTCAAATAAAATGACACCCAAGTATTTTTCTTTAGACAAAATAGGCTATGGAGAACTTACTACCTTTCAAAGTAGGTTCAAGCTACTACGTACAGAAGTTTTACTTCGCGAAGGTATTTAAAAAAATGTATGCTCAATGTCATTAACACTAAGGTGTAATTTAGCCTGTCTCAAGAGTCAAGCACCATTTTGTTGACAAACGTCAGTGATCGGCACTGCGCCGAAGTCAAAGGGCTGACTTCGGTAAAATGATGTGACGTGAGGTGCCAAACTGCAGAAAATGGCGGAAGAAATACATGAATTAGCGTTAATTATCATAAATAATATTAACTACTTATTTACCTCTCAGTGTCTTGAGGCAACTTAAAAAAGTACATTCTGTGTTTTTATTATTATTTAGGCAGTTAAATACTGCACAGTATTTAGTACACCATTTTCTTTATTTTCTTCCATCATACCTCATCATACACAAGAATACGCGTGCGTGAGTCAATGTTCGCTCGTATGTGAGGCCCTGTCGAATAGTATCCTGTAGGTGGGCCATCGTGCGTGTTTTGTTTTCGATGTAAACTCGCGGAGATGAACAGGCCTGGTTTCAGTAAGGTTTCAGCCGAAAGGCTTCCCCCAAGGATTTCCACAAAGACCACTTTTTTTGGAAGCTTAAATGGAAGACATCCACATATTAGTTTTTAGAATTATTATGTAACAATTTTGCAACCCTATCACGCAGGAATAAATGAACAAGACAAACTTACTGAACTCATATAACACTACCCTTGATATACAGATAAAAGACACAATAACACTTATGGAGTCTGAGACGTTAATAACCTAATTTCTCAATCGGTAAGTGCTCGTATTATTGTAATAATAATTATTATGACTATTATGACCGTCTGTACAGAATAATATTTTAGACCTACGTGAAGACCTTTTTTGCAAAAGAAAATACATTTTATTAGGTTCATACATTTATATTCCATAATTGTTCATAAAGATAAAGATTAACCATAAAATTAAGTATCACTAAAACGATCGCAACCTAAAAACCAACTAAACTAAAACTAACTATGCATAATACTAGAAAACGAAACGTTCCTTCCAACCCAAATTCTTGTAAACATTAAGAGATTCTTGGTCCTATAAAACATTATTATTATCATCCTTTTCAGTTCCATCATTCTTTCAGCCACAGCTTGTTTAATGTTGTCAAGTCATGCAACAGTTTTGTAGTCAATACATCTTTAGTCCAGATAAACTGCTAGAACCGTTACTTGTATGAAAGCACTGCTGACTTCCCGCTGCGTATTGACATACGAATCCCTCTCATGGTCCCATACAAAAGCAAGGGCGTTATTATAACTTTGGGCCCTCTTCTGGCCAATGGTGACGATGGTGATGATGCGATGCCTGTTGAACCCCATCGTCTTGATTTTCCTCATGAGCTCATTCGTAAGACGAATGGTCAAGCCAGTAGACTCCTGGAAGCAAAAATGGAAGCTCAGTTTCGGCCAAATGACGTCCATAGCTGGACAAAGGTCTCCCCCAAGAATTTCCACAGGTTCTTCCCGCGACCTTCATCAAATCGTCGGTCCACCTAGCTAGTGCACGCTACGTCTTCCGGCCCGTGGTCGCCACTCGAGAACTTTTCTGCCCCAATACTCAAATGCGTAGAAACTCAGTAAAAAGGTATTTTCCTCTTCTATGTTGTGAGTTGTAATTTACTAAGGTTACAGCTCAGATGATTACTGTAACCTCAGTGAAGAACAGGCTACTGACTGATGATTTTGATGAGGTATACAAAAATAAGTCCAGTATGAGGAACATACCTGCACATTGTATTTGTGTCCAGTAAAATTACTGTCCAGCATTTCTTCAACTACCGCCTTTACTTGGGCTATGTGAAATTTCGGCTTTGGCTCCAATTGAAAAGTGTTAAGAAAGAGCATTGGCGGACGCTTGAATTCTATTCCAAGCTGAAAAATATCAATTTTACAGTTTCAATCACTGATTAAGCCAAACCTGGGGCCCGCAATGGACCTAATATACCGACTATGTTTGTAGCGGTAGCTAACGGGGTTCAACACTACCTAATCCCAACTCTAGTTCCCTCTAGATTGGTGCAACTCCTGTGAAATCCAATTAGACGAAGGCTTATTTAGAGACATTATTCCTGGAAAGTTTAAATCATAGTGGTGCAATGGGAATAATAATTTGTACATTATAGAACCTTATTTGATTGTCATATGGTCTAAATCCAAACAATGTTTTAAACTCATCACTTACTTGAGAAGTTCTCTCCACCGGTCTGATACCAGGAACACCGCTGTACCCAAAGGAAGCCCGTCTCACTTTGAGCCTGCTCATGGACTTTTGATCAAAAGTCGTTACGGATTTCACACTGGGCTGGCTCTTCACACCCATCATCGACGTTTTGCTCTTAGCTATCTCTGCCTGACTCATGATTGCGGTTAAAATTGACTGATCAGTAAAATTGCTCACTACAAAAGCAAAGGTAAGACAATTAATGAAAATGGGAAAAGACTGGAAAAGATCAGAAGTTGAATCTTCTTGTTTTTGTATTGATGTCAACAAATGTTTACAATCAATGTCATCAAATGATGTCAATGTCATATTATTAGTTTAAAGTTTCAACACTTCAATACAAATGAGGTTTTAAAAGACCTAAGCTGCTGATATAGTGCTTCAGCTTGGAAACAAAAATTATAAAATTCAAAATATCAAACACAATAAACTGTTTGCTTGAAGATTCATAACTTTAAGTAAGAATTCGTATGTAGCAAGTCACAAAAATCAGTGATGACGAATTCAAATACAAATCAAAGTACTCATAAGTCACAGAAATAACCAAAACTCGCTCAAACAGAAACTCGTCAGTACAAATGATAGATTGTGTTTGTGTTCGAAATGAAACACAACAAGAACGACTAACTGTCGGATCCATCACCGAGAGGTCTGTCTACCGCAAAAACTTTTAGCGTTATTAAAACAGATACACGTGGCACCTTGTGGTGAAAATGTGGACAATGTTGAGTCATAAAGCACTAGAGGTTCTGTATTAAAAAAATAATTATAATATTTATTGTAGGACCTTCATCATGTTCACCAGAAAGAGAATACGATAAGGGCGTGATTATTCAGGCTTGAATTTAACATGAAGGAAAATCTAATTAAAACTATAGTTTTGTTTTGTGGAACAGGTCGTATAATATTTACCTTTTATCGGGTGGGATTTAAATAAAATTTTTCGTCAAAAAAACCTGTCATACAACAATGAACATGATTTGTTATCATCTTATTGTTATTATCAGTACATTGGCAAACCTTACATTTTAACTCCTTTCACACACCATCCTTATTTTTCCAAAACTGATTTTCAAGAACACTATTTCGGTCTAACCCTAAAATAGCAATGCGCAAAAAACTCTTCACACGTTGACAAAGAGGTTTTTCGAGTATGGCCCGAGTAGGTACAAACGGCAGCACGTCAAGCCCAACACGGTAGGATCTAACTTAATTGTAATAGGGGCTATTTTGCAAAGAAAATGTACAGCCTGATATGCTATCGTCTGTACATTTGGTTTTCAAGCACAGAAAGGTCCAGTTTCGTATTCAAAACACGCTCCGGTGTGCACAAAGGGGTTTACCTGGAATCGTGCAGTGTATTCAGCCTTAGGATCGTAATAATATCTTTGAATGACGAGTCGGCGTTTTGTATGTGATATAACAATATTAGAAAAGGTATGATAATATTTTGCGAAGAATATGGGTTAGTTTTTCTTCTGTACAATTTTCTGTGGGGTTTTTTTAAGAAAAGGGGAACAAAAGTTGACGTCATACGGCTTCTTTTTCTAATTTTAACAACGTCTAGGTATTTATTTAAGTGAATAATAGGATGGGATTTATGACCAACCTAAACAAAACATACCAGTTTTAGATAACAGAAACTTTTCATTAAGTTAAAATTTTGAATATAAATAGCACTGATTTAATAGAAAGATCAATTTCAGATAACATTTCTTCTGCTCTATCCTCCATACAAAACATAGCGTGATGACGAACAGTTACTAAAATTAACAAACAGACTTTATCTTATCAAAACGTAATACAAAATAACACAACTCATCGAGTCGCGTGTATTTCTCGTCCATCAACCTCATAGCAAAAATGCAGTATGAAGCATTGAAATGCAAGTGGCATTGCATTAGACGAAAACGAACGAGGGTTGGGATTGTTATGATACCGTTTTTTTCTCCGATTTGGTATCCGTTACGTAACGCTCTTAAAGTTAAATATCAAAAACAAAATTAACATTATTTTAGCTGACGATTTGATTTTTTTTTTTTCAAATATTTTTTTAACAGATTAGATCTGAAAATTTAACATTATGTCAACTTCAAAATTCCATTCAACTGTGGTGTCCAAATTCAGGCTGACAGGCCCGCCACTCTATTAACCGATGATTTGGTGAAAGACGCGGGAAGCACCTGGATAACAGGCAGTGCAGGATCGTTCGTTGTAGAAATCCTTGGGGAAAGCAGAAGACGTCTTTTTGAAACGAACAAACGTAAATTTCGAAAACAAATGAGAATCACGGGTGGAACGTGTACCAGAAATGGAAAGAATTATTTGGTACCATCAAAACCAATGCCGTCTCTAGTTTCACGTCAGAGCTGGAACCGTAATAGGTCAGTTAAACGAATGTTCACCCCAAGCAGTGGTACGGGGTGGGACCGATGTGACCGATAGTGGATTGGAGATACTTTTTCACTTGAATTAGAAAACATGAGGATTTGGCGTCTTGGCGAAACGATACTGAGCTTTATCTTAACACATGCAGACGGGTAAAACCTTTTGGAATCCATTTAGTTAAGGTTTTTTAACCAGCACGCAATGGGGGCAATCTTTCAGCTCGACCAATGTCACGTTTTAATCTGGATTGCATTATTTTTAATTTATATTCCAAGAAACAGGTAATAGCAACGTACTATTACCACAGTAGGTATTCAAGTTTCGCAAGTAAGTAAAATAAAATAAGTAACAGTAAAAAAATTGATCAATTGACCAAAAGGAAAATTTTTCGGCATTTTTCCCCGCTCTGCAGTTAAAGGGTTTAATTTGGAGATCTCGACCATTAATAAACAAAAACCTTTTCTTAAAAAGTTTGATAAGTTCTTTTAGTGTTAATTTAGGGCTTTCCTTAATATCTAACTTGTTTAGCTAAGAGAAACCACACGGGTCTCTTAGACGGTCGACTTTGGCCATAGTTTGTTGGTTTAGGATACCTGCCTAAGTTCTACGACTTTCGCCCATGTTTATGTTAAGTTGTACACGGCTCACTTTATTACACTTAGGTACATGTAAAACGTGGTGTAAATTTTAATTAAAAATACTAAACGCATTTTTGATGTGACCCAGTTTTAATTTGTTTTCAAAATTCTTACCAAAATTCTATGAAACAAAGATGTATCATTAAAAATTTTAAAAGGTTTTTTGTGTCTTACCTTTCCTTACCAGACACATTAATGAATGTTAATCTAAAAATAAATCTCGAGCCACTCCTCAAATACATTTTCTCCTTTCTTGCGCTAAAATGTAATGCCCTATTTCATAATACAGGGTGAAAGATAGAAGTGACGTCAGAGACCTCGAGGTGCAAGAGCCGAGAGCAATGAGCTTGCACCAGATCCTTGGATAAGGCAAGTAGTTTGTCATTTGAGATACTTTGTATTCAAAGTCTTTAAAAGTTTAGGTACGAAATATCAAGAAATATTTTTCATTATTTTTTCCTCACGACGTAAAACTAAGTAGAGTGTACATTGGCATACCGTCTAGTAACGTGTGTGTACCTACTAAAGACATGTTAAAGTTGTTAATTACTCCGGTTTAAGAAAATGAAAATGACCACGTTTTTTGCAGCGGTAGATATTCAGCATACGGCAGTTCCTACAAGAAGTTAATCTTTTATTTTTGCTGTATCGAGTAATGAAATATTAATGGGTATTAACAGTCATCAGCACACGACCTAACTACCATAAAATGTGGAACTATTTTGTGCCTTGTGCTCTAAAGGTTTGCTCAGCAATAAAGTTGAAACTCCCTTGTGGACCCGTGACATGTTGTGTTTAGGTGACCCGGCGACTGTACAGAAATACAAAATATCAAAAGTTGTAAAATCGACGGGTATTATCAGTAAGCGGATTGCGGTTGTTCAAGGCGAGCCCGACAAATCCGGATTTAACCATTTTTGCTCCACTGCTATTTTCTGCGACCGGATTAAATAGAAAATCTATTCAAACATCTTTTTATTGAGTTTTCCACAACCCAATATGTTTTCCTTCACAATAGGAGTACACACATTATTGTTATCAATTGTTATTAAAAATATACAGTTTATTTTTACTTTTTGAACAATATTCCGCCACAAATAGTAACATTGTCATTAAACGGCTTCCCATGGCTTCGTCCCCGTGTATTCGGCAATGTTAAATAATAAAATAAATATTATTTAGGGTAAGTCCAGGATAGATGCCCCACTTTTTGAAACAGCTCTGTAACTCAGTCAGTAAGTTTTTATCAACAATTTGACCTTAGTATCTGTAAACTTTGGTCTTTCGTCTATGATATTACTATAATTATTTTAGTTTAAGTTATACCGATTCTGAGTAAATACCATTTTAATTGACCTCTAAAAAGTAGGATAGACGCCTAATGTGGGGGATAGAAGACTCACTGTACGATTGCTTCAAAGGATAGATGCCTGATGCAAGGATAGATGACTCGTTAATACAGTTTTTGAATTCTAAGGATCAAGTGCTTTTTGAAATCAAACAAGCCAAGTATTATTATTTAAGATTGTTTGTTATTAAATGAATTTAATATGAAATTTAATATTTTTTATTAAAAATAGTACATAGTACATCCACCCGAAGTCGGGAAAAGAGGTAATTCGATCAGAAGGGCACCCTATTTATTACTTTTCTAAGGTTAGCCGTACTACATTCTTTTTTTCTTCTTACTTGCTACTTGTGACAAAAAGAGCTTTTTTAATAAAAAATATAATAACACAAAAAATCGAATTAAACATAGCTATCCCGTCTAATTTATAAGATAGTCTATCAAATTATATAAAAATCTGCTTCATTTTACAGCTGACAAAAAAATTATCTATTAAAAGATACTTACCAATTTCATTTCGACGCTCGCTAAGGTTTGGCCGCGGAAGATTTTTGCTCTCACTGGCTAAACGAACGCACTCTTTGATGGTTTGCGAGGCGAAAAGTGGTACGGGGAGGTCCCTTTCTGTTATACATACTATAACTTTATGCTAAGTTGCTTGTAACATAGTGTACTTAAAATCGCGGCACCTATCCCACTGGGGCATGTATCCTGGAATTACCCTAACATACCTACTTACTTTTTGTGGGTGTCTGTTATGCTGCCTTACACGTGTTCGTTCATTCGTTTTAGCCAAATGACGTCCACTGCTGAACAAAGGTCTCCGAAAGCCCTGGTCAAAGACCAAACGATTCTGACGTGTAAAAAATACTATT